GCCATACTCGATAGATTAATAGCAAGGATCGTTCGCGGTCCACTACGTTATTTAACCCACTTTACTGATCGGCAACTTGATTAACTTTTATAGTTTTGTTATTACCAACCTTAGATTCTGTAGTTTATTCGTTAGAGACCTTATAGAAGGCTTCTGCGCCAAATTGTATTAGCTTTAATTTACGTGCTCTTTATCTGCTTGGCTAAGTAATATTTAGATAGACGTTTGTTCCCTTTGATGCATCTTTTAAGTTTTTAATGAAACTTAATCTTGTTTGCTTTTCTTCATCTCTATTTTGCCTCCATCTTAGTATGCATTTTTTATCATGTTATATGCACGCCCTTAGTCTAATTGAAAATCGTTAACTTTAATTTGCTTTTGCATTATCCAATTCCATTGAATTTCTTTTTCAACCATAGATGTCCTCTTTGGCTGATAGCGAGTCCACTTCGTGTGATACTACTGCTGATTTGGAAAAGAAAGGAATCCCTAAGGCTACTTTTATTGAGGATGTTGACAAATTCTTAAAAGACAACAACTTTTCTTCCTTACAGGAAGCAGGTCATTCATTTGAACAGATGTATATGCGATATAAGCATATAGAGCAAGCTTTCTTCCAGAGGAAACTCAGGCTTCTTCAGCAAATTCCTAATATAAGGAAAACCTTGGATGTTGTTCGCCACCTGAAACAGAAAAGTGAAGATCTGGATGTAAATTTCGAGGTTTCGAGTCAGCTTTATGCCAAAGCTCATATTAAAAAAGCTGATAAAGTTGGTCTTTGGCTAGGAGCCAATGTAATGCTTGAGTATACTTTGGATGAGGCCGAAAAGATTCTAATCGAGAATGATAATTCAGCACAAGTGTCGATGGTCGATGTGGATAACGCATTGGATTTTTTGAAAGATCAATGCACTACTGTTGAAGTAAATCTAGCACGGCTGCATAACTTATCGATCAAAATTTCCCGCCAAACTCAGGGAGCGGCGGCTTCCTTGGCCTGATTAGCTTTTCAAACCTAAATCAGAGGTGCTTTTTCATACCCCGACGTGTATAAATATCCCAGACATTTACTTACAGAAACGTCTGTTATATCTAACCGACTGATTAGATATATTATGTTATGCTCTAATTTATTAAGTTACAACAGGAGCCTCATCTTGAATTTCTCAACTCGCAGTATCGGTTTGCGAATTCTAGTTTATAAATAAAGCATACTTTTTTCTCATAGCTCGAACCAATTATACCAACATTTCAAATCAATCTACTTTTTTTGTCTT